TGGACCCAAACCCTTGATGGGAAAAGTGTCCAAAAGACCGTTGTAAAACCACAACTACCACTGGAGGATGTTAGTGAACCAATTCAGTATTTTGAAAAGTATAAAGAAAGAAAAAGAATTACTTATTCAGTCTTTTCTACTATGGAACTATAGAACTAAGCAGTCAAATTATATTTGAAATTTCTCTTTATAGACCTAGTCCAAGCAGGGCATAACAGCTCATACTTGATCATCTCAGCACTTTGGTAGGTTGAGGTAGGAAGATCCCTTGAGCCCAGGAGTTTGAGACCAGCCTGGACAATACAGTGAGACCTTGTCTCTACAAAAAATTTTTAAAAGTAGCCAGGCATGGTGGCACACATCTATAGTCAGCTACTTGGGAGGCTGAGGCAGAAAGGATCACCTGAGCCCCAGAAGTCAAGGTTGCAATAAGCCATGATCTGTGCCACTGCACTCCAACCTGGGTGACAGAGCAGCTGAATCCCCATCCCCCCACAGAAAGAAAGAAAGAAAGGAAGGAAGGAAGGAAGGAAGGAAGGAAGGAAGGAAGGAAGGAAGGAAGGAGAAAAAAGGAATTCAGTCAATAAATAAAGATAGAATTAGAATATCACTATTTTGCAACCCCTAGTGATTGCTGCATTGACATTGACAATCAATACTGCTAATATTTAAAAAAGAGAAAGACAATTAGGTATTACTAACTTCTTTTAGATAAAGAAAACACTACTTAGAAAAGTAGTTTTGAGGGAAAAAATGCCCCTGGTGTGTCTAGATACAACCACCAATGTAAATAGGGAAAAATATAAAAATTAAAAAGAAAATGCCTCAGGTATCCTATCAGCAAAATACAGACTCAAAAAATGTACAGCACAAATGGTCTGGTTTCTTAAAAAAAAAATAAGTGGGGTGGGAGAGGTGAAGGGGGAATGATAGAGAGTTAAAAGTCACATCAACCAAGTACCATGTGTGAACTTTATTTGGATCCTGATTCAAACAAAGCATAAGAAAACAAATGACATTTGTGAGACAATTGGAAATTTGAACCCTGAATAGATATTCAGGTACTATTATAATTTTTTAGATAATACAATGTTATTGTGGTTATGCTTATAAAACAAAGTCTTTATCTTTTAAAAACCCATTCAGAAATATTTATGGATAAAAGGATATATATGCCATGCATATGATATAAATATGATATATATTATACATATATAATGTCTGATATTTATTCCAAATCAATATAAGGAAATAGATTGTAGGCAGGGACAAGGTGATAATTATAAAGGCTGAGTGATGATACTTGTGGGTTCATTATATAGTCTATTTTTATATTGAAATCTTCCCATAATAAATGCTTAGTTTAAAAACATATTTTACAGCCGGGCTCGGTGGCTCAGCCTGTAATCTCAGCACTTTGGGAGGCCGAGGAGAGTGGATTGCCTGAGCCCGCGGGTTCAAGATCCTCCTGGGCAACTTGAAAAGACCTCATCTCTACAACAAATCAAAAATTAGCCGGGCGCGGTAGCGCACATCTGTAGTTCCAGCTACTTGGAAGGCTGAGGAGGAAGGATCGCCGGAGCCCAGCAGGTCAAGGCTGCAGTGGCCGGGAGCGGCCATTGCACTCCAGTCTGGGTGACAGAGTGAGACTCCAACTCAAAAAAAAAAAAGCATATTTTACTAGCTCCCCAGTCACTTGACTCCTTGCCACACTCTATGATATGGCCTATGCCTGCTTCTTCAACACCACCTGATGCCACTTTCACTTTTCACCTATACTTAAACTACTAAAAATTACTTAGAGTTCCCACAGAGGACTGTGACCTCTCTTACTTCCAAGCGGTCATAATTTCCCTTTTCCAGAATGTCAAGTCTCATTCTTCCTCTGCTGGCAAGATTATTTCAGTCAGTCACATTTACACATCGCCAATTGCACATCTCAAGCTTCCTGCTGCATGCTGGCAACACACTGGAGAGACGAACGTCCACCACTTGCCACTCCTGGCTGCCTCCAGCCCTCGCTGCCCTCCAGTCTGCCCTGGAAGGCTGACCTAGGTGGACTGCATTAGTGACTCCCTGGTTGTCTATCTTCTGATTGGCTTCTCCAGATGGAACTACCAAGAGAGGGTCTGGAGATTAAGGGGAAGAGTGAAGTTGCTGTCCATATGTCCCTGGCTCTCTCCTTGCCAGGCTATCACTGGCTGGCTGCTTCCTTGTAGTATTAGTCCTATCAGGGGCCCTTTACAAGCAGTTCTCCTTCTGGTGCAGGTCACTGCTTGCCTTTGCATCTTCAGCTCAGAAATTTCTATCTCTCATAAACCTAGAGCACTATTTGTAGAGTCCCTCCATTCAACTTTCCTCTAATTACCCAGTTTGTCTGCCATATTGCTCCTGTATAATTAGTGTAATACTAATTATTAGACTAAATATCCTACTATTAGTATAATGAAGATTATACTAATTAGACAATTGTAAGCAAAACATCCAGACCAAAAAAGAATAAGACACAGATATAGACTGAGAAGGCATAGAATAAAAAGAGTTAGGGAACATTTGAGAGAGAGCTGGAGAGCATGTGCCAAGGTTTGGTGTACAGAAGAAGCAAGGGATGCTTCATCCTATCTTCACTGGTCAGGCTATCAAAAAGCAAAGATGACAGTGGGAGGGCTAGAGAGCCAGAGCGAACCTTGACTTCATAGGCCAGGTAAGAATATAGATTTTGATCCTGAAAGCAATGAGGCAGTATCGAATATTCTCCTTGGTCTTCTAGACCTAGGTAAGGGATCATCATCTCTCAGACAATCCCTGAGAGCCTTCTACCACACAATCAGGAGGCTCTAGCACATGATCACTGTTCCATAAATGCTCACTGAATTTGTGAATAAAACACATATGGACAGTTTAGGAATTTTTCCATCATATATAAGCATGACTTTATCACCTCCAAGAAGTTTTCTTTGCATATATTCTTCCTGACTTAATCCTATTTGCTCTAGGCTGTGTGTTCACTTACAATACACATAAAAAGCATGGGCGATAAAGAGGTGCATGCATGCTACATCCCTGAAAAGGGAATCAATCCTAAGCTAATTCTTTTATACTGTAGCAATCATTTTATTTAACAAGGAACACCACAAAATCAGATGATGAAAATTCTTGCCCTAAAATCACAACAGATTAATCTTTTAAGCTTCACTAATTCAAGGTGATTGAGGAAGACTCACTTGGAATTCACAAGATGAGTGAAAAGAGACCTGTTTTTTGGTTTGTTTGGAACAAGAAATACAACCTTCTTGCCTTCATGCATAAGATATAGCACAAACCAAGTGCTAACCAAAGAGGGCGAGCAGAGGCCTATTTTGATTTGTTTACAACTGATAGTGTGGTCTGATTTACACATTATAAAATAAGCATAATTTTTAATTGGTCCCCACACCATTTAATATAAGGGAGAATGCATAGCTAAAACCTGCTTGACACAGGGAGGGATGGGCAGTTGTGGGGTACTGCCAGAGGAGGGAGGAATGGAGCAGGGGTTGGACATGTAACAGCACAAAGCGTAAATGGTCATAAACCAGTGGAAGTAAGGGCCAGCTGGAGGCCCAAACTTCACCTGCACACACATCACTTCTGTACCTAATCCTGACTTGTAACCCCCACATTTTTATAATAAAATAAAGTAAAATAAAATAAAATCTGCTTGAAGATACACTTATGGCCGGGTGCAGAGGTTCACACCTGTAATGCTAGCACTCTCGGAGGCCAAAGTAGAAGGACTGTTTGAGCTCAGGAGTTCGAGACCAACCTGGACAACACAGCGAGACCTCATCTCTAAAAAGAATTTTAAAAATTAGCCAGGTGTGGTGTTGTATGCCTGTAGTCCCAGTTATTCAGAAGGCTGAGACAGGAAGATCAATTTAGCCCCAAGTTCAAGGCTATAGTGAGCCATGATACAATCATGCGGCAGAGTGAGTCATGATACAATCTGCGCAGCAGAGTAAGACCCTGACTCAAAAGAGACCAAAAAGCAAAAACATAAAGAAAAAGCACTTATATTATAAAATTACTTTTAAAAACATTTTTTATTAACTCAGACCTCATTCAGAATTTTTAAAAATTTTAATTAAAATTCACTTTTTTAATGCAGACAAAATTAAAATACAAGGTGACAGTACTGTAGCAACTGAATATTCACTAATGTTACAATAATGATGTCTTTGTATGTTCAGGTATTTTGTGATAATGAAGATGTCCATCTCATTCATAAGTAAGCAAGACAAATAATTTGTTTTTACCTAAATAATTAGTTTTATCTAAATATTCAAGTCCTCACTCAACCAAAAAAGTATCAAAGACTATGACTTATATGCCAGTGCTTGGTGTTTCTATGGTATGATGGGTTTGGTTTTTTTTCTTTTTTTTCTTTTTTTTTTGAGTTGGAGTCTCACTCTGTCACCCAGGCTGGATGGCAGTGGCACACTCACAGCCACCCCAGTGTTGACCTGCTGGACTCCGGCAGTCCTTCTGCCTCAGCCTTCCAAGTAGCCGGAACTACAGGTGCACACTACCACACCCAGCTAAATTTTGATTTATTGTAGAGACAAGGTCTCGCCAAGCCACCTGGGCTGGTCCCAAGCCCGCGGACTCAGGCAATCTACCTGCCTTGGCCTCTGAAAATGCTGGGATTACAGGCTGAGCCACGGAGCCCAACCAGTGTAATGGTTTTTAATTAGCATGAAAAATATTCATTCTGGCAGAAAATTAATGAGAAGAATTAACAAATGATACTCATTTATTCTAGAGGTTCAAATAAATGTGTATCAGTTTTCTCAGTGACCTAAAAGAAGAATTTTTGTTCTTGTTTTTCCTGAACAATTCTATATTTCATAAAGGTTATAAATTGATAAAGCAGAAGAGATTATACTAAAGTTCTGTGAAAGTGAATAAACTTAGACTGTGACTAAAATACATTTTATTTCAATAAAAGTTATGTTGCTCACCAAAGAGGCCATGGTGAATCCAATAACTTCAATATAACCATCATCATGACGCTGGGGTTCAAAATCATGGTGGTCCCCTGGGTTGCCCCAGGGCATTGTGCCAGCACAATATCTGTAAGTGAAAGTTAAAGACAGAGTCAAATACAGTCTATTCTCCTTGTGACTATCATTAGGGATTACCCTGCAGATATACCCAGTGTTTATTTAATATAAGAACAGTTTTCTGTTCCTGATGCACACCTTCCAACGGAAAATAAAATGCACATATTATCATCTGCAAACTAGCAACCTGTGAAAAGGGGCCTTGAGTTTACAACCAAAGTATCCTGTGGCATCCCAACTTTCTCCTAATTCATTATTTATTAATATGTCTCACACTCTCTTATATGTTTTTTATGATATATCATGAATTGTTGGCAGTGGCTACAGAATTTGGTCTTGAGGGAGTAGATATGCATGACAGAAGAAAAGAGGGGAACTGGGTGGGCAATATTTACCATTATACAGACAATTAAAATAAGAGGTACCCCCAGAAGAAAGGAAAGTTAATGAAGAAGACACTGAAGAAGGTGAGAGATTCAAAAGAAAAGAGAAAATAAAATAAGTTAGAGAAGTCCAGGAAGGAGAATAAAAAGGGGTGAAGAGGGAGCAGCAAGGAAAAAAGAGAAGAGAGCCGGGCTTGGTGGCTCAGCCTGTAATCCCACGCCTTTGGGAGACTGAGGTGAGTGGATCGCCTGAGCCCATGGGTTCGAGACCCGCCTGGGCAGCGAGACCTCATCTCTACAATAAATCAAAAAATCAGCCGGGCGTGGTAGCGCGCGCCTGTAATTCCGGCTATTCAGAAGGCTGAGGCAGAAGGATCACCGGAGCCCAGCAGGTCAAGGCTGCGGTGGCTGGGAGCAGCCACTGCACTCCAGTCTGGGCGATTGAGTGAGACTCCAACTCAAAAAAAAAAAAAAAAGAGAAGATGAGGGATGAAAGAAAAAAATAATGAAGAAATGTAATAAACAATGCTTTCTGAGTACCCAGGTCTTTTACTTCAATAGAGCTACAAACATTTTGGGAAAAAGATTGTTAGCTGACTATACTGAGCACAGCCAAGAATAATCAGGAGACTATGACATGGTTTCCTAGCCAAAGATTTACATACAACTCTCATTTCAATTAAACACAGTCTAAATAGAACATGTTTGCAGATTTTGTGTCTAAGTTGTTTGGTGGGCAAATAACAAAGGGTTATAGATCCGTCCCTCCCAAAGTCTTGGCTTGAAAGCCTAGAATCTAATTTTATGCTCCTGAGATAATGTGCTTATTTTGAGACTGGTTATCTTAAATATCCCTTTCTCCTGAGGTATGGAATAGCACCAAAGAGAGTTGATATCCTGGCTAGAATATAGACTCTAATTGATCCTATTTTTTTTTTTAAAGCAATAATCTGGCAACAATTTTGAACAAAGTCCATACTCAGTTCAGACGGGATGGTTTCCTAACAGCTTCTGGGAAACTGAGAACAGAAATTTATTCAAGTTTATCATTTTGGGGGGAAAGTGTAAAGAAGGCAGGGAAGAAGAATACTTGAGAAATAAATGAAAACATTCTAAGAAAACGATATGAACAGAGCTTACCTGGGTATATTTAAAAATACTATACACTGGAACTTCAGTTCCTGAATCTTGGGGGTGAGATCTGTTCCATCACACTGCAACAATTAAAGCAGAAAAAGCAACGGTTTTGAAGTAGTCACAAGTCTAAAAAAAGTATCAAAGATAACTGGATTGACAATGGTATACACCACAGTCTCTTGCTCCTTGCCCTATCTCTGCTTAAGTGAATGCCAGTTACTATTACTGAAGGTCTATTCTGAGTATAGCTTTATTAGACCAGGGTACAAAGCTTGGTTTGCTTTGACAACATAATAACAAGGCTGCCATCTGACCAAAATGATTTTTTTTCTCTGGTCTCACAATCAAAGGAAATACTGTCAATCTAAACTTTGAACTCTTGTTAGAGATTTAGGTTGATAATATCAACAATGAAAGACTTATCAAAATTTTAAAAAATTAAAAGAATAGAGTCTCAAGTTAAAGCAGTGGCATGCGCCATCATAGTCATTTGATCAAATACGTTACAAATATAACCATTTATTCTTTGCTTTCTGAGATAATTTCATTTTGAAAATGTTAAATATAATATTTTCAACATTTTTTGAATACTATCTCCATTGGCGATTTGTTCTTACAAATTTAACCTCCTACAGATTTTGGACTTCCAGGATTAACTGCCTTCCTGGAGTTTGGACATGGCCTTGGGGCTTAAGGGGATCAGGCCAGCCTGGCCTCAAGACCTGTGTGTGCAGCTCCCCTGATCAGTGAGCACTTTACTAAAGAATAATATTCTCTTACTAATTAAAGAAAAAGCTTTCATGTCCCCTTCTCATTTTCCACTGGTGACAAAAGTTAAAGGAGAAAAACTCTAGTCATGATGTTGATAGACTTCTCGATGTCAAAGGTAAAGCCTGCTTTCATATTAGCTTTCCTCACAACCGAATCACAGAATTGCTCCATTATCTTTTCTTTTGAAGAGAGGAGCAAAGCATTCCCAAGCTCCCTGCAAATTTGAAAAGATTTGTTTCAGAGCAGCTTCCATTTAAGTCCAATGATTTTGGAAGCGACCAAGCTATCTTGAGTCACCTGCAGTCTTTCCCCAGCTGATCTCAATACAGTCTAATTTCAAGAGCATTCTCAAAAATGGTTTCCAGGAAATCTTATAATCCTAAATAAACAAAATATTTTCCAATGTAATCTAGATAGGAATCAAAATTCTAGACATGGAAGTTGTTTTTTTCAGTACTTTCAACTATAAGAGAAAATGAAATCTCCCAATTTATTGATGTCTTGAAATGAGTTCATAGATGACCATACTGAGAACTAAACCTGAACTTTTTCTTCCACCCAAATTCCTAACCAAGAGGATTGGGGTCACTGCCCGATAAGAACTCACCAAACAGGGTTTTATTATGTTATTGTTTTCCAACCTAACCCTGGCATAACATCACATAACAAAGAAGGAAATCAAAGTATTTTATGGCCCTGAAAAGACATTGTTTGTGAATTACAAAACTCAACAAACCTAGAGACTTTCTGCCCTTTGTCTCAGCAAAACATCTCCACTTCATCTGCATATCAACAAACCTGGAGTTTTCATCCCCTTATCTTTACAAAGCATCTCCACTACTGATTTCCCAAACCCTTAGATAAGAACTGCAAAATTACTAGTCAAGAAATCTTTAAATCACCTATGACCTGCAAGCCCCCCCCACCAAAATGCCCCTTCTTCCTGGAGCAAGCCAATGAAAATCTCACATGTATTGATTTATGGTCTTTGTAAATTTTGCCACCCTAAAATTGTATATACCAAGCCACCATTTGGCCACAGTGGGCACAGGTTCTCAGGACCTCCTGAGGATGGGTGAACCTGGGCTTAAGTCCTCAAGTTTGGCTCAGGAATAAACCATCTTAAAATATTTTACAGAGTTTCGGTTCTTTTCATCAACAATACAATGAAGAAAAAATGTAGACAATTTAAATTATCAAAGTTGCATAGTGTGAGCAATTAAAACTTCCAAAAAGTTGAATATGATGTCAACAGCATGCAAAGCATTATTGTTGCATTACAGAAAAAGAGTATAATAAATATTAAATATTATTGCATTTAAAACAGAATTCACCTTGTAACTTTCTACTTTTTCCTCTGGGGAACATGTCAGTGACTCTAGGAACCCATCAAATTATATAAAAATGAGCACTGTATAATGTATAGTGCTTTACAAAGTTTTCTTACCTGTTACTGTATTAAACTGTACAATTCTTTAGAATAGCAGTTACTATTCCACTTCTTCCCAACTTCAAACACACACAAATGAAAATATTTGCATGCAAAATATATTCCTCTGTACAAGCTCATGTTAATAAATCAAATAACAAGAAGGAAATACAGGAAGGGGCAGAAACAATGCTGCAGGTAGGTTTTTGTTATTGTATTTTCTTGGTCTTGTATCCAAATACACATTTTACATCTCTATGAGAGATTATTAACTATCAATTCCAAAACACTGACTTAACCCCGCGACATAAATAGGATGGCCTGCTGTTGGATATACATCTCATCACTCTTGCTAAACTTCTACCCTTTATGTCTCATGCTCAAGAAAACAGAGATATCCTTGTGGTCACCAACGCTTGCTTACAGACATGTCTTGCCGTGTCTACAGATGAGGGCAGTAAGTTCTTCCAAAAGGTTAAATTATTTCTTCAATGTCACATGCCTAGCAAATGTCGACCTACCTGAATTCCAATTGTTCATGCTTAGTTTCTAATGGTTTTTTCCTCCTCATAAGATATACTGTTTATAAATATTGCACTTTAAAGTATTGTTTGATATTAAGTCTTCCCTAGGTATTTGCTGCGATTGGGGCCTCTCTGCAAGCTTCTTTTGGTCTCTGCTGCACAGCACCCATGTAAGAGACAGGCAGAGAAGAGAGAGAAACTCGAGTGGCAGAGAAGTGGACAGAGCTGGATTTCAATCCACTGACATTCATTTGGTTCTCCTGGCACGCACTGTGGATGCGCCCCTAAATGCAAAAATTACTCTAAGGGATGATTAAGTTGATTTTGGCTAAGTTGCAGGCAGCTGAAGAAACAGAGGAAGTCTGGTGTGAGGTTGTTGCCACTTTAATTTAATAATCATAATTTTATCAAAACAAAGATCTTCATAGTTCAACAGACTATGTGTCTTTCTTCTATCTAGTTTTAAGAAGGCAACATTTCCATTTCAAGAGTCTCTACCTTAAAAAAAACACTTGCTTTCATTGTTATTATATGAAAACTGAGACAAATGAAAGAAATGCCAGTGTTAATACCAGTGGCCCAACTGATTTAAAAGATTGAGATTTGTATCTTACACATGCATTAATGAGGATTACAAGTTTTAATTTGTATCCTCTCTTGCTTCTTGTATTTCTTTATATGCTCATTAGCTTAAGAGTATATATTCTTCTCTATCTTCATGTATATATTTTGTTGTTTCATCTTGTCACGTATTCTTATTCTTAACTTATGCCATGATAAATGCATTACTGTATTCCCATTCCTTCTCCTCCATTAGTTTCTTTCTCTTTTTGTCATTCACATATACAGCTGTGTGCAACAAAATCATGCTCATCCCTTCTTCCAATTTGGTCACTATGTGTTTCTTAATACCGAATTATATTTTCATATTATAATTTATCACCTATGGAAAGATAAATTTGTCTCTCCCTTGTCTCCAAGCAAAACCTGGAGCAGAGACCCACAAAAAAATATAGCACAAAAATTTCATTCAGTGATGAGGCGCCTTGACCAAGTTGGAGAGTGAATCACCACAAAACAATAAAATTGATGCACTGTTTTAAAATGGAGACTCTTGGCTGGGCTCGGTGGCTCAGCCTGTAATCCTAGCGCTTTGGGAGGCCGAGATGAGCGGATTTCCTGAGCCTGTGGGTTTGAGACCCACCTGGGCAACTTGGCGAGACCTCATCTCTACAATAAATCAAAAAATTAGCCGGGCGTGGTTAGCCCACGTCTGTAGTTCCAGCTACTTGGAAGGCTGAGGCGGAAGAATCGCCGGAGCCCAGCAGGTGAGGCTGTGGTGGCCGGGAGCGGTCATTGCACTCCAGTCTGAGCGACAGAGTGAGACTCCAACTCAAAAAAATAAAATAAAATGGAGACTCCTCAGACAGCCCTGGAATAAAGGTACTTGTTTGGTATCTATTTATATATGGTGGTGCCAAAAATACATATACAAATTTCAAGTACGATGTATGCATAAAAGATGGCGTTAGTTAAATGAATGCTAGCATCACCATGTGACAGGCAGGACAGTCAATTAAAGTGGCAAAAGCACAGCTGAGTGAACATCATACTACATATTGCTATGGTAATTTAATTCAACTTTGAAAAGTAATACATAGATAACATCTCTTAAAATATGTATTTTTTGGCACCCCTTTTATACTTCAAGATCCAGCTAACGTCATTCTTTGATAAAGGTCTTCCTGACCTCATCATGGTCAAAGCTGTCATTTCTCCCTTTGTGCCACCACCATATTGTATACACAGTTGAATAGCATTTATTATATTGTTCTGTTGTGACTTAGGTGCCCTTTACAACTGAACTATGAGTTTCTTCAGAAGTGAAACCTACCTTTTTATTTATCTTCATCTTCAGCAACTAGTAAGCGCTCATAAATGTTGGTTGAATTAACTACAATAAATGCTCTCTAAAGTTCTAAGAGTTCAGTGATTGATCTAAATATAACCTGGTATTTGGGAGTTTACCTTTTGCAGCATTCATGTTCATACTCAAATGAAGTGAATCAACATATTCAATACTTACAACAACTTTAACATGTTTGGATAGATCTCTAGAACTTCTCTGTAGGAAATCAGAAAAAGCTGCCTATATCACAAAGAAATAAAGAAAAAGAAATTCTTAATTACACGGTATGTCAAGTTCTTACTTTTTTTTTTTTTTTTTTTTGAGTTGGAGTCTCACTCTGTTGCCCAGATGGAGTGCAGGGACCGCTCCCGGCCACCGCAGACTCCACCTGCTGGGCTCCAACGATCCTTCCGCCTCAGTCTTCCAAGTAGCTGGAACTACAGGTGTGCGCTACCACACCCAGCTAATTTTTGATTTATTGTAGAGATGAGGTCTCACCAAGTTGCCCAGGCGGATCTCGAACCCACGGGCTCAGGCAATCCACTCACCTCAGCCTCCCAAGGCACGGGATTACAGGCTGAGCCACCAAGCTCAGCTTGTCCTTACTTTCATATGACAGTTTTCAATGATTTCAAATTATGTGAAAACATAAAATAAGTTCTTTTTGCTGAATCCAAAGTAAAGCACTGCTGTGGCCACCAAGCTGAAACCTCTCTCTTTTTGTTTCCAAACTATAATTTACAGTTGCACGAAAAAATTTAAGAGCACAGACTGAGAGTGAAGAAGTAGATAGTTCCGAGGGTCAATGTGAAAGCTTATTTTAACTACTGTTTTTGACCATCCTACTTGTCCATTAGGTGCTAATATAATCTTTTCACTGAGGATGTCTTGTTTTTCCCCTTTTGTTCCAACTCTCTCTATCCAGTGGCATAAAGGTAAATCACACTTTCTTTACTGATAATTTGGATGCCTACTCTTTCTTCTCCATTCACTTTTACGAATGTGCCTGAGTAAAAAAAAATGAAGGAAAAAGAATGTGCCCTCTTTAATCTCATATATGTTTTCATGAAAAATGTCCCTTGTTCTGCCAATTTCTCATTCAAATGTCCATGTGTACATTCCCTGATGAAAACCACATTCTTACTGAATACTTGCCACACATCCTTTGGCCCACCTAATTTCTCCATTCCTTACATGGGTTTTAATGTTTGTTTCTCACATTCCTCCTTGAGTATCATGCTCTCTTGTTTAACATGAGGTCCCAGGGCTTGAAAGTTCAAAGACGATCCTGAATATTAATTTAAGAAATGCAGCCAGGCTCAGTGGCTCAGCCTGTAATCCCACGCCTTTGGAAGGCTGAGGTGAGTGGATTGTCTGAGCCCGCAGGTTCGAGACCCGCCTGGGCAACTTGGC